CTTCTTTTTCACTTGACGGGCATTTGGGTTCTTTCCAAAGTTTTGTGGACATTGTGAATAAAGGGGCTACAAATACTCACAGGAAAGTCTTTCTATGACAGGTGCTTGTGTTTCTTTCCGGGAAACACCAAGGATCGGGTGTGAGGTCATATGTTAGGTTGATGCTTATGAGATGCCACCTTTCTTCAGAGGGGCTGTGCCACTTCACAGCCCCGCCCCCAGATGACAGGAGACTGGAAAATTCACCGGTTTCTCTGTATCTTCATCAGGTTTATCATTGGCAGAGTTTTTGTTCTTCTTCGCCTTGCTGCTGTTTTGTTCTATTTTAATTTTAGTCTCTCAGGTGAATATGTCATGGTATTTCCCTGCGGTTTTATTTACATTTCCCTAACGATTAGAGATCTTGAGACTGTTTCCATGTGTTTATTGGCTCCTTGTCCGGGTTTTGTGAAGAGATGGTTCTTGTTATTGTTCCTTTTTATTATTATTTTTGTCCTTTTATTTATTTTCAGATTTGGCTTTTTTTCCTTCTATTTCTTCCAGTACATGGCTTGCCTTTTCGTTTTACTGATGATAGCTTTTGAAGGGCACAAATTTTCAATTTTGATGAAGTCCAATTTATTATTTTTAAAAATAAGGTAAGGACTTCAGTGTGTGGTCTGAGGAAATATTTGTATGTCTACTGTTACAAAAACATGATTCCTTCTAGAATAATACAGCATTATGTCGTTTTCTTAGGATATTCTTTTTTTTCTTCCTCTTCTTTTAAAAAATGTTTATTTATTTTGAGACAGAGAGAGAGTGAGTGGGGCAGGGGGTGGGGTGAGAGATGCAGAGAGAGGGAGAGAGACAGAATCCCAAGCCCCAACATGGGGCTTGATCTCATGAACCATGAGATCATGACCTGAGCCGAAATCCAGTCAGATGCTTAACCAACTGAGCTACCCAGGCGCTCCTCTGACCCTTTTTTTTAATGTTTTATTTTATTTTTGAGAGAGACAGCGAGAGAGTGAGCACATGTGTATGTGGGCACATGTGAGTGAGTGGGGGAGGGGTAAAGAGGGGGACAGAGGGCCTGAAGCGGGCTCTGCACTGACAGCACAGATGCAGGGCTTGAACTCACAAACAGTAAGATCATGACCTGAGCTGAAGTCAGATGCTTAACCCACTGAGCCATCCAGGTGCCCCAGTTAGTACATTCTTTAAGTTAATTTTTGCTTTCAGGGAAAGGTATAAACGTGAAGTTAATTTTTTGCTTTTTCATATTAATGTCTGGTTGTTTCAGCAACATTGTTTGAAATGACCCATCTTTCTTTCATTGAATTAAATTGGCATCTTTGTCAAAATTCAACTGACCTTAAATGGGTGGATCTCTTCCTGAACTTCCTCCCCCTTTAAAATTTTTTTTCTGGCTTACTAAATCTAGGATTTAGTTCTTGCATTGCTATTTAGCTTTTCCTATGCAGACCTCATCTCTACAACTAGATCATAAACTGCTTGAGGGAAGGATCAGGTCTTCTGTGTCTTTGGACCCCTTACAGCTCTTATATGGTGCCTGGCCCCAAGGTGGGGGTGGTTCTCATTATTTTGTTTTTATTAGCAAGGTCTGCATAACAAATAGCAAATGGTCACAAAATTAAGACTTGACCCCTACATGTCCTAGAAATGATAGCTGACTACAGTAGCATGACTCAAGCATGTGGAATTTGGCTAGGAATGATTATAACAACAGCCAACACTTACTGAGTGATTGTTATACGCCTGGCATTTTTCTCAGCGCTTTACCTAAATGCATGTGATAACCCCAGGAAATAACTACAATCACTATCTTGATATTACAGACGGGAAAGAGGCACAGAGAGGTTGGGTCGGTGCTCAAGTCAGTAAACAGAAGAATTAGATTCAAACCCAGGCAGTCTTGTTCCAGAGTCAGATCATAAGTGACGCAATACTGTCTCTCCACAGGTAGCAAAGGGGACACGGAGAGGGTGAGCTGGGAACACCCAAGAAGCAGAGAAACAGCTATGAAACTTCTATCAGTTTTGCTGTTGATGTGCAATGCTTACCTGAGTAAATATGTGGTAAAATAAATGATCATTTCAGCAATTAAATAGGTTCTCTGGTTTCTAATGGTTTCAGGTGGTTGACTTTAAAATGCAATTTAAAATACATTCACAAAGTGATTAGCTCCAAAAATGACTGAGTCCCTTTCCTTCCTTTCATTAGATATCTATTTATATATATAATTAGAAATTATCCTTATGGCTAATGATCCTATCACAGAGATAAACTATTTACAATTTATGATGCTGTAACCACCCTCACCTGGTTAGAGCATGATAAATCATTAACATCAACGGCAAAAGCAGAAGTCTCTAGACTTCACCACAACTAGAGATAAAAATATTAATTATAGCAGAGAGAAATTATAATTGCAGAGCAAATACCATGCGCATCAAATATCAACACACACCACTGCATTGGTCCCAGGCTGGGCATAGGCCCAATCTGTTAATAAAACTAAGTTTTAATTGTTTGTCTTTGTGATTTCCAGTGTATAAAGTCAACAGGACAGGAGAATAGAACCACAGATAACCAAGAAACAAACAAACAAAAAAACCAAAAAACCCCTCACTTTGGCATTGAGGCGATATGAGATCCGGAAGGGAATCTAGAAAAGTGATAACTATGAAATAATAGCTGCCTTTTGCTTTCTTTTTTTTTTTTTTTAGTTTATTTATTTTGAGAGACAGAGTGAGAGAAAAAGAGAGCACACATGTGTGCAAGTAGGGGAGGTCCAGAGAGAGAGGGAGAGAGAGAGAGAATCCCAAGCTGTCACTGTGGAGCCTGATGTGGAGCTTGAACTCACGAACCGAGAAATCATGACCTGAGCTGAGGTTGGACGCTTAGCTGACTGAGCCACCTAGGCACCTTGTGCCTTTTGTTTTCTTATCGCTGTTATTTTTGTCATAAATAAACATTGGGAGTAAAAAGAAAACACACATTGTTTATGCCTATGTAAACCCAGTGGTTCTCAGACAATTCTGATTTTACTGAACAGCCTGTTGTTAATTAATCTTCTGAATTGTTGGGTATTCATACGAGGGGGCCCCCACCTCTACCCTGGCCCTGACTCAGATGCCACTCTTAGGTATTCACTCTGGCTGGCACAGAAAATGACACGTGGCATTACTAAGAGACTCAGAGAGAGTAGTCAGCTTCTCAGGCAGAATGAAGGGACACGTGGGTAATGCGCCCAGGACCCTGTCCACTTCAGGAAATACCCAGGCGCTGTGCAGCGCACAATATCATGTTTGCTTGGAGTTTCTGGTAGGGGGCATCGCCATCTATATTCCCTTCACCGAGAAAGGCTGGGTCATCTTCCAGCAGGACGAGGTGTGAGCACAGAGTAGGTGGGGGTGAAGTGTGACGGCTGCCCAGCCACGTCAGCTGAATTAACTTCGAAAATCAATGGGATGTCAGTCGTTGCAGGCAGACCACCCTCCCTTACATCCTGGGATGGCATAGGTCACGCAGTTGATTTCATTGTGTCTACTTTTATTTACTTAATTGATTAATTTTGAGGGAGGGCAAATTGAAGAAGTAAAAGGACATAATTTTTTTTCTTAGTAATCTAGAACCTGAGGCCTTGAGGACTGATGTAACGATGAACAATTCAAAATCCCCTTTAAGTAGCAAACCCCTTATTCCTAAAAGGCAGATGATTAAAAAAAAAAAAAAAAAAAAAAAAAAAAAAAAAAAAAAAGCGTGCTTGGCGGTGTGCAGAAAGCTCAAGAGGCACCAAGATGGGATCAATACAGCGGATCTGTGTGCGTACAAAGCAACACATGTTACCATGATTAAGAGTAAAACAAAGACTTAAAGAAATTACGAGGCAAATTTCCCTGAAATCTCCCAGTAGTTATTTATTATCAGAAGGTGATTTTGTATTTTATGACATTATATTTTCTAATTTCACTGAAGGAAAGCTAACCAAATTTGTGGATTTTATTTTATTTTATTTTTTTGCCTTAGCCTCAAAACGCCTTAGGGCTAATCAGGCCTGGTTCAGTGGCAGTCAACTGTCTCAGAGGCCTCCTGCATGTTTAAATAGCTTCTTGCCTGTTTATTTTGCACTGTTTTATCCTGTAAGCTGTCTCAAGGCCCTTCCAATATAAGCCGGAGGATTTAAATCTTAATAAATTGAAATTTGAATAACAGAGGCAATCTGGGTTTGGAGGTCTTGAATGATGAGGATAAACATCTCTATTCCCATTCCCACATTATGCCTGTGCTGAACGTATTGCCCTCGATCAGCACCAGCGATAATTAAGTAGTAACAACAGCAATAAGAATGAAAATATTTCGATTTAAATAGCACTTTTCAGTTTGCAAGGACTTTTATTTACAGGTTTTCACGCTATCCTTGGAATAGTTCTAAAAGGTAGGAAGAACAGGTGTTATGCCCACTTTATAGATGAAGAAACTGAGTCACTAAAAGATTAAAACAAGCCCAAGCAAGAGGGACAGTGGTGGCATTAGGACCAGAACCGAGTTCTATCCAGTGGCTTTGCTGTAATTTGGCTAGATATATCAACATATGTGTGCCAACAATAAGATTCTGATTACATTCTGATTAAACCATTGGAAATATTTTCTTATAAAGTTTATAACAGGGACACTACAGAAATCCAGAGTCATTTCTTTAAAAAACAAAAAAAAACCCAAAAGGGATTGTTCATCAGTTCAATCAATTCCAGGATTGGAAGTGACAAGCAATGCTCAAATACTTTCCTCTAGCTTCCTGTTAGTTTGATGGAAGGCATAAAAATATATACGACTTCCTTAATTATAATTTAACACCAAAATATTTATTCCGTCCTGTCATTTCTCATCACTCAAAATGCCAGGGAGTTGAATTTTTAGACATAGCAGAAGTAACATCGCAAAGATACATTCCAGCATTAATAGAAACAACAACAACAATTAAAAAGGCTTACCTTGCAGCCTTCACATGTAATGACACCATAATGGATTCCTGATGATTTGTCTCCACAGATCTTGCAAGGAATAATTTCAATTTGAGCTGCAACAGAAGCACGCAACCAGTTAATTACATTTTCTTTTAAACACCTTATAAAAGCGTTCCCTGATCAGCATTTGTATAGTGAAAACTAATAACCTGCTAAACATTATACTGCATTAACTATTCATTGCTGAACTGTGAGGGTCCCCCTAGAGCCCTGGACTAAATTATGGCTGCTCGTTATATAATAGCTTTCGGGTTATTAAAATGGGTCATTTGAGAAGGTGTTTAAGAACCCACAAGAAGACTGGAATCAGCATTTCAAAGCCTTCAAGAACTGGAGAGCTCGCAGTTTAGGCCTCAGAGCAAAGCAGATACTAAAATGTTTCCTCCGATCTCATTTTCCACCATTATTTTTAAAAGGTCATAAATCTGTCTTGGCTGAGCACTGTAGCTCCACTGGTAGGGAAAAAATATACTCCAAAAAGTCAAGACTGCTTAGGAAAATGATTCAACTCAAAATATTAATAAGTTACACATGATGGCAAGATAAGAATGCCTTAATCATCTTTTTTAATTAATGTAGCTGCCATGTGTTAAAAATCAGTCCATTTGTGTATGATCAAAACCTTTTAACCATTAAGTTAATATCCTAGCTGAATTTAATAATGGTGAATCCTGACCAATCGTATATGTAGCTTCTGAGTTCTTCAAGTTGGAAATTGACTGCCTGGTACAGCGTGTGTGTGTTTCTATCCAACTGATTACTTGAAGATGCCTCATACTGGAACACCACCCAAAGACTAATATACATGACACCAAAGTTCTCAAAGATGACAAAGCACATTTCTGAGCAAACACAATAGATCTTTAGCACAGTTGGTTGGAAAGAACAAAATTAAGGACTTAAAAAAATAACCTAAGGAATAGAGTAATTAGGCAAAACAAAGTTCTTGGCTCACCCATTAAATATAATTTGTATGTGAAATAAAGATCAACACTGAGCTGGAGATACAGGATGGCAACGTTCACCAGTTTACCCGGAATGTTCCATTTTGCTAAATTTTATTTCTCATGGGCTTCACTATGGATATCATAGTATCATAGATTACTAACTCACACACACAAACACAATTGCAAGAGCATAAGTGGGCTTCATTTTCATATAGCCCCGAACTGGTTCCACGCCTTACACAAAGCAATGACTTAACCTAAGGGCTATGTTGCACGATGTAAGTAACACACTTATACATATAGCCCGCTCTTAGTTCTAATGTAATCCCATATCCTGGAATAATTTCCACAACCTCTTACTGCGGATTTGATGCAATGTTTGCATTTGATACTCAGAAACAGCATACATTAAATTACTGGATTTAACCTCATTATAAACCATGTGTACCTGCTAACTTCCTTTCAAGGGGACTACTACAGGACTGCAGTGACTTTTGGGGAATGCAAGCTATTCTAGAAGGAGAGGCCTTTTCATGTCGATCACTTTTAGTGTTGACATACTGGGCTTCATTGTCCAGAATTAAAGATTGTTTGATATCTTACATCCAGTACATTTTCTGTAATGGGGTTTTCTAATATGTACATAATGGTGTTTTCGTATATTGTCTATTCTGAGTTACACAGCTTAATGTGTTATAAGGTTGCATTTAACAAAAATGATCATTTCTAAATCTTCCACCACATCTTGATGTCTTGTTTGATTTCTTCAAGGAAATTCTTTATGAAATGTGAACTCTAATAATGCTTCACATTTATGGCTCCTCCAGTATTTTTAATATAGTCAAGGCCAAGTTTTGTGTCACATAGTGTCTGTAGATCTAGATAGAGTTATGTCCAACCTTTTTGAGACACAAAAGCCAAGTGGTAGTAGAGACATTCTGGAAGGTGATGTCAGCTGAGAGTGATGGCCTGGATTTTCCCATATGAATTAAGTAGTCTATAATGAGAACCAGCCTCCGCCCCCCCTCCCCCAACCCCTAAGGAATAGAATAATTAGGCAACACGAAGTATCTGGACCATCTATTAAACAAAATTTATATGTGAAATAAAAAGACGGACACTGAGCTTTTCCTACGTCTTACCTCAAGCCATAATCACAGAAATTAGACACAGATGAACCTCATTAGGCCCTATAGTTTAAGTCTGTGTCAAAACTACCTGAGGCAATTAAAGCAATGTTAGTGCTGAATTTGGACCTTTCAAGAGTTACCTTCCTTCCAGCTTAACAATAGTGAGATCAAGCACACCTATTTAGTTCTTTAAAAGATATGAAGGCCCTCCAATATTGGGAATGCTGAGTAAAGCTGTATCTAGATCGAATGGAGAATAACGTATTGCTGTTCATTTTGCCTGGGGTCACAGTGGATTATCCATGAGAAGTGAAATGATGATGTAAACATCACCTTAATAGGTAAGACCCAAACACCTGCCAGTGGCTCCTGTCATCCTGCAAGTGATATGTGCAAGGCACAGAGGGGTCTGCTCATGATGGGGGGAGCCCTGGGATCCGGGCCCAGAACTTCCACCCTCAGAATGACTCATGGCTTGGCTCGGGCTGGGGAATGGGTGGTTGGTGGAGGGTGGTTGTAGCACAAACCCAGAGTTTGGTACCAACTACTGCATAGCTCTGCTGGTCTGAGTCAGGCTCCCAAATTCTTGGGGTTCAGCCTTGCTTCAGCTCCCAGGTCTTCAGATCTGGAGGACACTCAAGCCCGAGACATATTTCACAAGATTTATGGACGCCAAGATGCTTAGTCTGAATGGACTCACTGTATATTGACCTGTATTTTCAAGCAGGGGTCATTTACCCAGACCTTTGACTCCCGCTGTGTTTGTGCTTAGTTCTAGGGGACAATGTTGGCCAAAGAATCAGAATTGGAAAAGCCTCACTAGGAATCTCATAGTAAGGTGATGGGAGCAGTCTCCAAAGCAAAATTCAGGTGTTCTGATTGGCCAGATTAAACTATTCTACTAGCTTACCCCCCGGGGGGCTCTCTTATCTCAGAAGACAATTTCAGTTGCAAGTGCTCTTTAGGAAATGATTAAAATCCACCTGCTCCAAAAAAGCAAACTGTCTGAATGTGATCTGATCACATGTGTTGATTATTTCCAGAAAGCAAACATTTGCAGATTGGAGCGGGGCACTTACTCAACCTTCCATTTAATCCAACAATGCATAAAAGCCACTTCCCTCCACCTTTTAGTCAATTCACAGAATTCAAATGTATCAATGAAGGAAAAAAATGCCTTGCAATATTTTTTCAAAAGGAAAGCAGTTTAGTTCTTTAAATTTGAGTTTCCAGACCAGTAAGAGGGAAAAGGACAAAAATCCCTTTTGCCCTTTGCTTTCTATCCCTCAGGCTTTTTCATTTTCTAACAGGCAGTGTTGTGTCTTTTCAAAATAATCTTCTTTTAAGACAAATTATGAGTCTTGGCCCATATATATACTGCACACATTAACTCAGCCAGCCTTTCAAAGGATGAGTTCTGTCAGACACCACTACTGTCACAAGTATATTGATTAAATTAGTCCACATACATATTCATCGCAGCAAAGACGTTCATTGTGTAGCAGAATATCTGAAGCAAGACGTACACATATAATCATGAATTGGCTTAACAATGCACAATCTTGCTATGAAAAATTCTAATTTGCCCACATTTTCTGCTCTATTGCCTAAATAATTTGCTCTCTCACGCACCCTAAGTAATTCAAGCACGCTCTCCACACCTGCAGAGGCAAATTTCTGCGGTTTCAAGGAGCTGACAACAAGTGGCAGCGGGGAGTCAGGAAATCCTGGAATGCAAGTGTGCTAATTAGCCAAGTGGTCCTTGGGCTGGGCTGTCATTTCACATTGTACTTTGAGAAAAGGCTGGCTTTTTACTTTTCATTATAAAAGGGACAAGAACATGGACAATGGCATTCTTAACACTTCACTTATTCCTCAGTACCTTTTTGGGGAGATATCTTAGTCCAGAGAAAAATACCCATTCTCTCAAAGAATTAAAAAATACAATTGTACAAGAGCTGTACCCATTCAATGGGGGAAAAGGTGATGTCATGATAATCTAATGGATTTATAACTAACAATAATAATATGAAACATGTATTTGGCTTATAATGTGTTAGGCATTGTATCCATTTCTCCAATAACCCTATGAGGAAGGTGGTATCATCACCATCACCATCACCATCACCATCTGCATCACCATCATCTGCATTTTTCAGATGAGAAAACTGAAGCTCAGAGACCCTAAATAACTTGCCCAAAGTCAGAGAGCTAGGGAGATGGAAGGCTGGGATTTGGACACATTTTGTCTTTTTTGTTTAACTCAAAAGTTTAGTTGTTTTTTTTTTTTCCCCATTTCCCACCATAGTTCACAGCCAAGCTAGCCTTCTCCAATAACAAACATCAGGAACATACTATGACTGGTATGCCACCACTCACCAAGGATGCAAAGGACACAACACAAATGATTTGGTTAAACTTACATAACTACTGAGAACCGATGTCAAGATATCTTTCTGGAAGTTATATGTAATTACTTTATAATCAAGTACTTTATAATTGTAAGAAATCATCAACCTTCTAGAACATTCTTCTTCATTTTATAGAATTGAGGAGAGTTTTGACCTTAAGATGACTAACACCAACGTTTAACAATTCTTAAGGTTGGGCAAATTACTTCACCTCTCTGAGCCTCTGTTTCATATTTGAAGATCCAGTGAAATAATGTAGACATGATACAGCACATAAATGATTATTGTATGTATGTATTCTATGTAGATACACATGCACATCATACAGAAATATTTGGCACTCAATAAATAGTAGTTATTATTATTGCTATTGTTGATAAGAAATCCTGCCTTATAGCGAAATTAAAGTCTTTTCTCCAGACTTTAAGCTCTTTCCAACGTGGGGATAGAGAAAAGCTGCTTATCCCCCAAATAATATGACAGGCAGTTCAGACCAGCTACCACAGCAATCCTTTACAGCCTTGGCACTTAAATGCTAGGACGCGGCCGTATATTGCCATCCGTTATGGTGTGTGTCGCAAGGAATTTGTTACTAATAATAGTAAAAAAAAAAATTAAATTTTTTATTGGTTCATATAAAGAATAAACTAATAGGGGCCTACGGTTACCTCAATAATATCTACCACTCTAGCTCACATACACAACCAGATACTTTCTTGAACTGGACTGAACAGGGCGGGGTTCCTGCTGGCTTGCCAGGAAAATGGCCCAACCTTGGATGCACCCGAGAGAGGAAGTTATATGGATGAATGTTAACGCGAGTTTGTGTGTCTTGCAAAAACCATCGAGAACTACCGCTTAAAAAAAAAACAAAACCCAAAAAAACAAAACAACCAAAACTCCCAAACAACTATCTTTTATACCAATCTGTGGACAGCTTTTTTTCTGGAGGGCTGAGAATGTGGAGGACTTAGTACTTGCCATGTTACATATTCCCCTAATATTTGAATTTTTTACAAGCAGCATGTATTACTTTCGTAAGCAGAAAAACCAATAAAGATTAAAAAAGAAAAACCCTAAGGCATTCGATTTTTTTATTTTCGGTAAAATGGCTTGAGTCCTTTATGGATTAGACACTTTATTTTATCCCCAGTTTAAAACTGCTGGGGTATTAAAAGCTTCTGTGGCTGCCTGGATGGCAGGCTGGCCTGCGTGTCAAGGCCGGCTGGTGGACGCTACACCTGCTTACCTGCTCCTGGCTTCTAGAGTTTCATGGCTCCTCTGGGTCTAGCCACCTCCTAGTTCCAGGGACAGTGTGCCCTGCCCAATGGGGTCCCACTGAGGGGACAAAAGTCGGGGCTGAAATTCACCTGGCTGTTGAGCCTGAAGGGTGTCTGTAATAGCCCGGAGTAAGGGAGTTTGCACGGATTTGTCTGCCCAGATAAGCACCTTTTTCTCAAACCAACCTTGCAGGCATGGTGCCGTCCTTCATAATGTGCAAAGGCACTGTGTGTACTAGTGGTGAACAATTCAGGGAGCAAAATGATTTTCCTCCACTCTCTCAGGGCTGCCGCTGGAGGCCACAGGCCGCCGCAGGATTTGCAGAGAGCTCTCATTACCTCTCCACGATGGCAGGGGAAGAGACTGTGGGCTTTGAATAGTTCGGCAAATTCTGTTTTCCTGGATGCACGGCTTGGGAGTACAGCATGGGTATGTTCCACAGCCCAGGCATGCTCAGTGGTCCTTCAGGGTGGGGAGGGCCAAGTTCCAGCTGCAGCCTATACAAACTAATGAGCAACTTGTTCTGCCATTTATTTTGTCTACTAAATATATACCAATACTAGTATGTTTCTCTGTTATGGTCCTTCCTTCTATGGACTTTGGATTCTTTCATAACAGTACTTAATCCTCCCTAAACATCACCAAAGCAATTAGCCACCTAATTAGAAAAGCCCTACCCCCTTTGCAGTGCAGCCTCGTGGTCATTTCTGGCAACAATAATAACATCTGATTTTTGCAGGGTTGTGTAACAAATTTTAAAGTTTTTGTTCTCATTAGCTTGTTTTGATTTTGATGCTTACAACAACTCTGAAGTAGGCTGCTGGGTATTATTATCCCCATTTTACAGATGCAGAGAATGAATCTCGGGAGGGTTAAATGGTTTCTTCTCTAGGTCTAGATTTCCCAGAGATTTAATCGTAGAGGCAGCCACGAGTAAGACTGACCTGGCGTCTCTTCCCTATTCAGGATTATTTGATGCCTTCAGGTTTATGCTATCATCAATCTGGGGCTCTCGAGGGAAAATGACAGGAGAAAGCGCTGTAGGCTGATTTACCTAAGAAGCAGAGCTTGCAACACTTCCAAGTCTCCCTCTGACCCTTGACTCCCTGGGTGGCCTCAAACAAGTCACCAAGTCACTCACACCCCCACTTCCTCCGTCCACAAAATGGGAATAATTCTTACCTCCCAGGCAGGTGGTGGCAAATGAATGCTCGCAAAGCTCTTTGAAGATGAAAAGACTTACATAAATGGGAAGCTTTAGGAAGCTTGGCATATCATTCTTGGCAAGGGCCAGGACGCCGTGCCCTCACTACCCACAACAGGCTTCTCCACAAAGCGAATAAAGAAAAATACACAGAACTGTAATTTTCATCTGCTAGCTAGACTTGAGTTCTGTTTTGTTTTGTTTTGGTTTTAATTGGTGGTTTCCAAAATGCCTTCTCGAAGGACGAATAGGTTCAGATCTTACTATTTTAGTCTCAACTTAAGAAAAAAAGGACACACAGATGGAGAGGTCATCTCTCCATCTCAGCTGTGTCAAGCAAAGTCACTGAAACTAAACTTTTATCAGGGCTTGTGCAGTGTTGCAGGGGCATCATGGAAACTGCATGGTTCCCACATGGTAAACAATAAACACACTTGTCATACTTTGACATCCTGAGCCTTGGTGTTAAGCTGATGTCTGACCCAAAGGACCTTGTCAAATTATAGACGTTAAAAAAAAAAAAAAAAACTCCTGCCACATATTCTGCTCTCTTACAAAACACCTATATTTTACCTACTATTTAAAGCTACTTCTTAAAATCTTTAACTTGATTGTTGTTTCTGCTGAAAACAGCTTAAAAAAAAATTTTTTTTTAATGTTTATTTCTTTTTGAGAGAGAGAGAGAGAGAGAGAAAGCACACGCACACATGCGCACGCGAGCATGGGAGGGGCAAAGAGAGAGAGACACAGAATCCGAAACAGGTTCCAGGCTCTGAGCTGTCAGCACAGAGCCCAATGCGGGGCTCGAACTCACGAACTGTGAGACCATGACCTGAGCAAAGCTGGATGCTTAACCGACTGAGACCATGACCTGAGCCGAAGTCAGATGCTTAAGTGAGCTACTCAGGTGCCCCAAAACTTAACAGCCTTTTAAAAAATGATTTTTTAATAAAAAAAGTACTGTATATACCCGCCAAAATACATACAAATAAACACACCTGAAACAGTCAAGAGCAAGCATCTACAAACTAGAATTAAAATAAGACAAAATTAGAATTTTGGGGCTTTGGCCATTTCCTTCAGACTTTATACATGTATGAGTTAGGTGCATAAGAGTTAAAACACTAGGCCAGAATGCCCCATATGAATTCAGAGAGCTTAGTTGTGTATGCAGGAAATCTCTGAAGAATAAGGAAGACAGGCATATCTTCTCATGTGGCTTTCTGTGAATATGCAGGTAGTTCTGACAATGGGAACTGAATATTAATCCTTTGTAATAGGTTTCTATCCTTACTAGATAAAGCTTTCCAGAGAAACTGACTCATATTCCCTGATGCTTATGTATCTTTGCTAAAAGCCCAATCCAGATGAGCGTTTCTGTCTCCAGACGGGGAAATTCTGTCAAATCAGAGAAGAAACAGATTTTTCGCATAGAGGAATAGTGGATGGCTTTGATTTTTAGATCCAGTTCCGTCTAGAACCCTCCTGCTACACAGTAATGTACAAAACACCTCCATTTAAAGTAATTGACTCTTGACCTCTTTGGGTAACTACCTGATAACCAACTCAACCCTGAATATAATACTTGAATGGCAAGAGACGCAGCTTCTTAATCTTCACTGTACTCATCCAGTGGGCAAATACTGAAGAAATTCTCAGTCACTAAAAGAGGATGCCGTTAATGTCAGCAATATGTATACTTTTCTCTGTTTTGTCTTCCCTATCCAACCTCTCTTACTGCCTTTGTAAACAGTGAAACATACTTGTTGGGAATGTGTGGGGTTCTATGCAATCAGGGACCAAGACAAAGGCAACTGGCCATTTGGCCAATTATTCTCAGTTGGGATAAGGTTCCTCTAAGATTCTAGAATTGACTACACTTTTTCAATATTTAATTCTTGAAGATTTTCTAGGACCTTGCAATCAGAAATATCTAATAAAAACTCTTCTCTTGAATCTCTCAGTGTGGGTTAACTGTCATATCAGCAGGAAAAAGAATCCATTTTATTTTACTAAGTGGTTAGACTATGATCAAATCAAGGTAAATCCCTAATAACTTCTTTTCCAACAGTAAATGTGTGTCCCTTATATTCTCCTGGATAATACTAGGCCAAAAAATGTCACCTGACTCACAGAACTGCATCTAATCTTTTCTAGCGATCAACCTCGCTCTAGATACCAATTCCTTTTTTCTCCTTAACAAGAACAACTGCGCCCCATTTAGGTTAAATCTTCCTTCGCTTGCAGTTGAGGGCAACGGGGTCAGCTCTTTGCTTTCATCATTTTAAAGTCTGTTTTTCACAATAACAGAGAAGAACATCTCTAAAACCAAACCAGACCAAATCTGGAGATCTTATCTAGTTTCTGCTTAACCAAGAACATCAGAATTACTCTTACTGCATTTTATGAAATAATCTTACTTTATACCATTACCCACCAATTTTCACACCTGACACTCCATTTGGCAGCTCTCTTAACTTCACACGTTTATGCATAACTCAAGCTATCCTCATTGCGCAATCTTGGTATTTCAACGTAGAAGCTTTTATGTTTTTTAATGTGTGCATATAATGTTACAAAAATAAACAAACCTGGTGATTCAATTACGAGTCCAAAGACAGAGCAATCTATGGACATAGAAATGGATCTTACAACAAATAGGACATTTGCTTAAATCTATCTGTTCTATGGCTTCATGTGAGTCTGAACCCTTGTATGCTCAGCATATAGCATCATAGTTTACTGAATAAATCAACCAAAACATTCTGTTTGCCTCATAATACTCCTTAAAGGGCCAAAATCTCCTGCCTAAAAAGTCAGCTATTGATTGTTAATTCCAATTGTGTAATTTCTATGCTCCCCCCCCCCCCACCACCACAGGCGCTATCACAAAAACCAGCTGGATGGAGGTGTGCAGAAGTGGGTCAAAATAAGAAGAATCCAGATTATATCATCAAAGCTTATCAGGAACCCATTGCTTCTTTCCATTGGCTTGGATTGTTTTTTGGATCAGTTACTATTCATTGAATAGTAGATTATGTCATTTAAGAAATATTCATTCTCTAATCAAATCAAGTTTGGATTCATGGCAAAAGATTGAAAATAACTTGTAACTTCAAACGTTGGAAATAAATTGATATTGCTTTATAGTAAGCCACAGAGGACTAAAATGACAATACATCCACAGCCACGGGTACACATTTCTTGGTCCACAGATCTAGGATGAGGGTAACAAAGAGGATCGTCCCACAGCCCAGATGCCCCTCCACCTCTGTGTTATTTCCTGCTTCCCAAAATCTCCCTAGAATTAATAGGGAGAATGGAGCTTTGGATAAGAAGTCACGGAAAGGTCTGGTTTTTATTAAAAGTCATAAGCAAATTATTTGGACTTGCCAGAAGCAGAAGTGTCGATGTTGTTACAGTAATCATTTTAAGACATTATGATCTTGAAGGATTAGCGACCAACTCCTGGAAGAAAAATTCGGCTGGTTCTCTACCTCTTCTTGCCAGGACATAGCCAATGACATCTAAACAATAGATATGTCAAGTTCTTTTTTTTTTTTTAATTTTTTTTTTCAACATTTATTTATTTTTGGGACAGAGAGAGACAGAGCATGAACGGGGGAGGGGCAGAGAGAGAGGGAGACACAGAACTGGAAACAGGCTCCAGGCTCTGAGCCATCAGCCCAGAGCCCGACGCGGGGCTCGAACTCACGGACCGCGAGATCGTGACCTGGCTGAAGTCGGACGCCCAACCGACTGCGCCACCCAGGCGCCCCTAGATATGTCAAGTTCTAAGCCTTCAACTGTATCACAGATGTATTTCTGGATTGCAGTTCAATAGTATTTTTTGCAATTATCTTTTATGGTGCTTTTCTTAGGCAACCAGTTCAGCCAGGCATGAGAATGACCAGACAAGTGACCTGAGGAGTTTTTTTCCTGACTCTCTCTCTCTCTAAATGCATGTTCTTTCCCTTTGCTTTTTAAAGTAACATTTCCATTCTTTATTATAATATAGGAGATCAACCAGAGAATGGTTAACAATATTTGCTGACCGCTGAAGCACAGTTGTTTCTGTGTCTATTCTCATGGGGAGAAAGCAGGCGCTGGTAGCGACTTCTTCGTAAGAAAGGGAAAAACGAAAAAGGCTGCAGAGCCTTGGGGATATTAAATTGCTGTGAGGCAGGAGGAAAAGGAATGTTCTGACCAAGTAAAGAGATTGTCAGATTTATTTTAAGAAGGTCTCA